CTCCCTCCCTCCCTACCTGCGCACGTACTTTCTTCGCACGCCGCAAGAAATCCGTCTCGTGTTGCATGGGCGACACTTGTTGGCATCTCTCGGACGCATGCCGAATGGTTCGGCACCTCCGGACCCTCCCCACCGAACGAATTGTTACAGGCAAGATTCGGCCTTTCGAGTTGTAGCCAACGATGATACCCCTGTAAATAATTAGAAGAATGAGTGGAGTAGAAAGGTCACCACTCGGCGTTTCCGCCCCTTATGCAACGGTGATAGGCCAGTATAGCTAACGCCAGAAATTCGCGCAAGGCTGGTGCAGCCAGATCAAGATCTGCCCCTGCTTCCGCAAGCCAGCCATGCTAGCTGCTAACTCCAACATCAGCATAATGATATCAGCGCGCTGATTGTCGAAGTGGGAGCAATCATAACATCTGAGCCCCCGCCGATTTGACCTGATTTGACGTTGACTGCACTGCAGCCCGCGTGTGATCATGCTCCTCACAGCCATTGTCGAGCCAGCTTGTCCCTGAAGACAATCGCAGCGACATAGGAGATGTTAATCGCAACCTTTTGCGTCCGTCTTCGTAATTGGTCACCGATCTCGATTTCGTCGCTGGAACCGCCTCACGAATGACCCTGTTTATAGACTTCCAAGAAAATGCGCCCGGCCACACCCTTCTTCGTAAGGTGCACCATCTCTTTGTCCACATCTCCCCACAGCACCTGCTTTGCTGAGAGGTGCTTGCCAGCAGCCTCTGCACCGGGTTGCTCCCCCATTTTTGGTCAATAACCCTCCTTTCCCAAACCTCCATGACCATGTCACTCAGTTGGGCAATGTCGCCAAATCCTTCTGCCTTCTTTGCTCTGTCTGCTTTCCAGCCAGGTCCACTGGCAATGTCATCGAAGCTCCAGCAGCAGAGCCGGAACTTATAAAAGTCCTTCTCAGCCTAAATTTCCTGAAGGGATTCAAGAGCCTTGCCTTGTCAGCTTGCCGATACCCTCCATACACATCCCGCAGACCATCACTCATGCCTTCCACCCCGTGAGAAGTTGTTCAATGATCGATCTCCGAATCGCAGCTTGGTGGTACTGGCCTCAGTCTAGACCTGCCTTCTCTCTCACCCTTCTCGTCAAGCTTGTGATTGCACTCATCAGCTTTCCTGTTAGGCTGTTCATGTAAGAGACACACCTGCAAGCTCCTCTGCATTTGCAACCTTGTTTCCTGATACAGTAGTCTTGCCTTCTTCACGAACGAGTTGTGTTCCTTGAAGGCGAATGCGCACACACCACTGTCCAGAGATAGCTTCGCAGATCCAGCAAGCTCTGCCACACACAGTAGTTCTGGAGCGCCCGATGGGGAGCCAGTGCAGAACAACATCATTGCACATGCATGTTGTTGATGTCAAACCAGAGCACCAGGAGCAAGGCAATGCACAAAGAAAGCGTACTGTCGCTGCCATTCAGGCTGGAACACATCGCGATCTTCAGCCTCTGGCAAAGTTGGCAACGCCGTCTCAATGCTCTCAGCGTCATAGTGTCTGCACCTCTCCACGAAAAGAGTCTGGAACTGGCTCCCTAACCTCAATCCAGGCTCCTTGCATCGCGCGGGCGCCACCTTCAACGACAAAGTCAGATAATGACAGGAAAAGCATACGCCCTCGATTTGGAGCTTCCGTCCAAGCACCACCAAGATCCAGGGCCACAGCATTCACACTGCGAACCTGCTCAGCCAATGGAGCTATCCATGTAGCATGTATTCAATGTATTCCCCAGTCACATCGACACCAGAAGAGCAGCGGAAGAAATCCATGTACCCATCAAAGCTGTATGTGCTGTCCGTGTAACATAGGCCAGCTTGTCTGACCGCATTTGTGCAAACTCGGCTGGCACGAGCGTGCCTCTTCCCACCAGCCATGGGCCATTTACTGAAGCACTGGGGTTCTGGGCTATGTGCCACGCTTCGGCACTCTATCTCAAACCCTACCTACCTACATACATTACATTACATTACATTACATTAAATTACATTACATTACATTACATTACATACAGTCATACATACAGTTATACAGTTATACAGTTTGGACATGCTCAATGCTGCCCAGAGGGACCGGCAGGGTGCCAGGCCTGGGCTGCACAGAGGATGACAAGATGGAAGCGCTCTTCAGAAATAATGCAAGCGAATGTTCTAGTATACTGAGGGGTTCTAGCAGAAGAATATATGGATTCAAGTATAAGAATATGGTGATCTTTCAGGCTCGAGTATGATAATGTAGGGCTGTAAGGGATAATATTTCTGATCTTATCCCCCTGAATCACTGAAATCTGAAGGTCCATGTATTCTTGTGCTGTATCTAACCTACCCCAGCACCCTGTTCTACATGTTATGTAGAGCTCTCAGCTGAGGTGCTGTTGTTTTTGTAGCTCTGCCACACAAAACTCCAGGGACACCGCACCCAGCTGCCTGTCCGGCGTCAGAAGATACAGCACCGAGAGAACGGCCGAGTCCTCGGAAGTGCTGCAGAGCAGAGGGCAGGGGCTGAAAGCGGGAGAGGGCGCTCAGAAAACCCGGAGAGGGCTGCGATCGGTTGTAAGCCCGAGCTGCGTGATGGGCGTGAGCTAGGCCGAGCCGGATCTCGTCTGTGCCGCTTTGAAAGCCTTGTAAACTCTTACGAAGCTGTGGTGCCCAGAAGAGCAGCCAGGGGAAAGAAATGGCAGCACAGCAGAATGCCACAGCAAGCCCGCCGTGACCGGCCAGGGCCGTGGAAAAGCTCTCCCTTGCAACCTGAGAGACTTCAATGCATCGTGGCTTCCGACATGCTGCTTGGCCAAGCTTATGCTCACTTCCATGAAGCACCACAACGACATGCCAACGAAAAGCACAAGCAACATAAAGCTGACAAAATAGATGGGTTGGCTCGACGAGATAGCTTCACCAACAACAAGAGAGAAAGACAACATCGCGGTGCAAAGGAAAATGCGAAATGCAGCTGAGTGATGGTTCAAGAGTTGCTGCAACCGAACCTTTCCGACAAAACAACCGACATTGGTCCTTCTTCAAGCTCAAGGCACAGGAAACTCAGAGCTCTGGGAGCCTTTCATGCGCATAGGCCAGATCGCCCGGTGCTGAACTGCCGATGCCGCAGCTTTGTCCTTGCAGGTGCGTGCCACATCATGGGCGTGTGCACAGACGTAAGTGCCTTACCGTATGTGTCTCTACAAAAATCATGCCCGCTGTTCTGGAGCGTGAAATGAAGAGAATGATTTGCTGAAGGAGTACACCGAGTTTCGGCTGGTTGAACTTGTCGCCAGCTGCGAGGACGCAAAACCAAGGGGAGGATCCCCCATGTGAACTGGCGAGGGTCATGAAGATACCTCGGGAAAAATCCGCAGAAAGCGGAACATGTTGGAGCTGGTGGATGCTGAAGCCAAGGAACGCTGAAAGCGTAGCCTCCTGCACTTGATGGTAAGGCGCGAGTGGCTCAGACCGATCATCTAGCTTCTTCTGATCTCCTTCTTCTTGGGGCTTCCCTGACACCGCCAGCAAGAGCTCTGCCAAGGCTTCAGCTCCGTCGCGCCGGTGGAAGACCCGTGCCAGGGCAGTCTCTCTGATCCAGGACCCAACCTCAGTATGTGCTGAGTGGGGCCATGGGCTGTGGGTACCTTTTTCAGGGGTACTCAAGAAAGGCTGCGGCTGCATAAGTTGCCACACCAAGAGGCTCGCTCAGAGTAGTCAGGATTGGACGCCAGGAGGACCGCCTTCTTCACGTAGTCAGAGACGGTCAGCGCCAGACAGCAACTCCTCACATCTGGAAGGCTCTTCTCGAAGAGGGTTCGGAGGAATCCTGCAGCAAAACCTCCCGCAAGATGCTGTCCCTTCAGGGTCACTACTGGGGCGCCAGCGCTCAAAGCATCAAGTGTGGTGGTGTGACCACCATGTGGAAATGTGTCAAGAATCACACTAGCATGCTTCAGCATCCAGAAGTAGGTGCTGGCGTTCTGCATCGGGACGAAGCAGAGACGAGCCAGCTGGGACGGCTCCAGCTGAAGGGCAAGCCGGGCGGCAATGCGCCTGTGGATCTGCGGCTGTGGGTGCCCCACCCGGATCGCTAAAACAGCCTCTGGGCCCGGGTCTGCCTTGAGAATTCCTTCCAGCGCCTTATCAAATGCCGGCACAAGCTTGTACAGCGTCTGTGCCACCAGGTACACACGATCGGAAGGTTTTGTCAAGGCACAGGTGCCAGTGCCAGAGCTCTCCAGCAGCGAGGCCCAGCGAAGGGTAGACGTACCCTTTTCCGCATGTTCGGGATCTGTGCTCGGCAAGAAGAAAGGGAAGCCTTTCAGCAAGACGAGCTGCTCGCTGTACTGGCTCTGGGCATGAAGCCATTCACTTGGCTCGAACGCTTCGAAGCTCAGAAAAGCGTCGATGGTCGGAATTCCTGTGGTGGATGCATGACCATAGGTAACCATCTGCAATGGTGCCAAACGGCTGTGAGCCAGAGTGAAGCTTCGCACGTCCAGACCAACTTCTAAGAACACCAGACAGTCGAGCCTCAACTTCAAGATCGCAGCCCTGGTGCGGCCGAGCTCCTTCGGCGTGCCAGGCGAAGTAGAGCTCCAGTAGGATGCTTCTTCCACATGGTCTGCACGCTCGAGGAGTGCTTCCGCGACCGCTGCCGAGTTTGGGGACTTACGCTGCAAACTTCCGAGGCACAAGAGAGCAACCCAGACGGATTTTGGCAAAGGCCAAATGATCCCTCTGACCAAGTTTCCCACGGCACTATCGCCAAAAAGCCCAGAAACAAATCCAACTCGAACTTCGGGAGACTTGCGAAGGCCTCCTGGAGCCTGCAAGGCTGCGGCTTCGAAGCCCAGATTTCGGAGTGATCGCAGATGAAGTCGTGAGAATGCAGATGCGATCTCAGGCAAGTGTGGGACGAGTGTCGGCCCGAGATAAGTTAAACGAGTCATCTCGACGGAACGGGTGTCGAAGGCTGCTGGTATGCCACAGCCTCTTCCTCTCAGTGGCGCCCCCTCTTCTACGATCAGCGCGCTCAGCCCTGTGGTGAAGTTTTCTATCGCGTTTATGGCTTCTTTCTCAGAGCCATGGGTTGCAGGAAGCCATGACAGCCGTGCTTTGATCCAAGCTCCCTGATGCTCCTCTGCCTTCCGCAACATTGCGGGAGCGGTTGGCCACGTCTCGATCGCATTTTCGAACCATGTTGCAGCACCTCCCAAATCGTCAAGCAACTCATGCACATGGCCCACCATCATCGCGGCCCAGGGATCCTTGCTTGCGAGAAGCTGGGTACCTTGCCTGTCTCGTATCATCAGCAGGGCTTTGTCAGCTTGCTTGTACTGCAGGAGCAGGAATGCTCCCAAAAGTCCAGCACGTGCGGCCCAGCGCTGAAGAGCCAAGCCGGCATCTTTGGGAATTCGCGCAGCCTCCTGGTACTTTTCCAGGGCTGCCTGCAACTGGCCTTCCTCCTCGAGTGACATCCCTGCTGCCAGCAACCCTGCCACTCGTGCCCCTGATGCCGAGAATTGCGGCTGAAATGGCAAGAAGGACATTGGAAATGCCTCTGCCTGGCTGCATGTTTCGACACAGCACGTGGTGTTTGCGGCGCTAGCTTGAGCAGCAAGCCTGGGGTACAAGACGATGATCGCCCCGCGGGATCGCATGCAGCTGTGCAGGGCCACGTGTTCACAGTCGTCAAGACCCTCATCATATCGGCAGCTGCCGAACTTGTGCAAAAGGTCCTCGTGGTACAGTGCCAGACCACCAAAGCAGCTGTCTACTGGAATGAGCGAGCGTGCTGTAACAGATGCAGCACAAGAGCTGCATGATTTTTCCTGACCTTGCAACTCCATTCCGCAGTCGCAATGTTCTCCCCACTGTTTCTGCAGACCACAAAGTGCATGGGGAAAGAAGCTCTTTCCAGCTTGCTCTTCAAAATCTGTGGGAGACAAGCCTTGCAAACCCTCACCTCGCAATGCGAACGCATCATAGAGGCTGTTGGAGCGATACCAGGTATGAGCACAGAGGGCATGCCATCGGGCCTCGTGGCCAAGAGCTTCCAGCAGATCTGAAGCAGACCACTCCATTCCAACATCAGCATCGACCATTAAAATCCAATGCTCCTTGGCCGAGCCCCGGGTCTCTCTCCGGAATTCCTCCAAATACTTGTTCCTAAGCCTGGCTAGGAGGCGCACTCCATCGTGACCCCATCCTTTGGCTTTGAGCTCACCTCGGCTTTTGTATGGCCCTATGTGCGTATCCTGTGAGAGCGTCAGGCGGATTGTTCTCATGGTGGTCTTTCCTGCCGCAGTTTTGGACCAGTGATCCAGATACTTCCCAGTACCATCTGTAGAATCGTTTTCAACAAAAATAATTTGTACTCGTCGGAAGTGATCGGCCAGGGTTTCGATCTTCTGGCGGAGCTGAGGCAGATGCAAAGCTGCGTTGCGCACGAGGCCTCCCACCAGAAGCGTGGCGTTGGCTGCCCTTGACTGCCCACGCCGCAGGCGTTGGAGCACAACATCTTGAGGCTCCGCGACAGCCACGCACAGTGCTCGAATAAGATAGCAAAACCAAACTGTCCACAACATCAGAAGCCAGGAGGTCAAGCCTGGCAAAAGCCTGTCCTTGCACGCTGCATTCTCCGCTTATGACATTCCATCGTGCATGGCAGGGCATGCCGGAGAGTGAACTCGCTGCGACGCATCCGGGTAGCGAACTTACAGGAAGCAGGGACAGCAGGGACGTCCCACCAAAGCTGAAGGAAAGTTTCAAAGACACCTCCCCACTGGGACACGTCCTTCGCTCGGCTGGCAGGTGCTCTGAGCAAACTTGGCAAGCAGCCTGGCATGGCCAAGCTTACTTCAGCCGAGTGACACGGACAGCTGTCACTCGTTGTCGCAACTGCCTATGACCTTAAACCATACGGCATTCGCAGCGAGGGTCTGCTGTTGCAGATTGACATCTACCTCGTGTCTGGACTTCTCTTGTTGTCTTTCCGTCCAATGCGCGGTCGCTTGTTCCGTGTCTGGCTTCGCGCATTGCCCTGGCAGCTGCTGCAGCCCTGCGCACCTCTGAGCTCAAAAGAAAAGCAGCAGCGGGTGAAAACATGCGAAGTCAGCTTCCTGACTGCCAGGTGCCAGGCCGTCTCAGATCGCGAGGGTGCGGCCAGTACAAAAAGCGTCATGGGCCTGGGGTTCAGAGTTGGTAACGCACCGACACTGACACGCTGTCTATGCCTCTCCTACAGCACAGCTTCCTAACCTATAAGCTATGTGCCGCATGCCGCGGAAAACGGTGAGTCGGTTCGTGGCTTCTTTTTGGCAGGATTTAGGCGGGGTCCCGGCAACTCTGCTTTGGAGCCTTTGCTGAGGATCCTGCATCTCATCTTGCGAGAAGAGCTGTCGACGGCGGAGGAGCACCTCCAGCCTGCGTGAGAACTCCAAGCAGATGCGGCAGAATCCAACACAGTTTTACAATGACTAGTACTAGCAATATGATAAAGAAATACCCAAGCAAGAAACATTCCAGAGCAACAGCAGACGGAAGAAAAAGAAGAGTCAACAATGAGAGTTCTGGTTTCTGGCCGTATGCGCATGATATTGTGAACTACGTTACCATGCTAAAGCTTTCACGTACCTTCTGCGGGCTCAGGCCCACACCCGCTTTCCCTGAAGAGCTTGAGGTAATGTTGCGTTGTCCGCCTGGGAAGGCATAACCATGCGATGGGAGGCTTTCCTGTTTCCAGAGCTTGCTACTCTTCAGACATGGTTGTAGTGGGCATACTTACGGGGTTGAAGGTTTAGGGATGCTTAGGGTAAAGGGTTCAGGGAACTCAGTCTCAGGAGCTGACAAGACGGACATGGGTCCACTACGTCGAGAGCCACCGTTTGCGCCGCCTCTCGGACAAAATTACGACAAACCTCGGGCAAGAAGGTGGGCTGTCTGAGTCTTCCACGCCAAAGCTCACCAGTCTCATCGTCGAAGTAAGATCCAACGCCTTGATCTGGCCCAAGGCCCGAATACGTTTGCGAAACACCCCCCCAGCACGCACGACAAGTCGTATCCGGCGGCAGGCATCAGACACGAGAAGCTAAGGAGGATGTAGAGCTGACAACGGAGCGTATCAGCTCATTAGTCCGCAAAGTCTGGGAGACCAGCGGGTTTGGGCGACATTCTCCTGAGACGAGAATTTCTTAATCAAAGGCTAAGTTCGGGCAAGCCGACATTAGCATGTCTTTCACACAGGAATCTCTCGCACAGCGGGCACCTTCACTACGACGGTCCCAGCTGGCCTGCACATGACAACTAGTTGGAGAAAAGATGCATAGACCCTTAGATTGAAGCATGCGTGCGTTGGCTGCATCCAGGACGCGCAAGGAGCTCGACAGAGACACGTCGAAGGAACTTCACCACCTCGACATCTGCACAGCAGCATCAGATCGAGGATCTGATGCTGAACCTTCAGAAAACTCACACTGGGGGGCAGGCATCTGCATCTGTGATGTACATGAAGATCCACCTCGTGAGAGATGCCGACAAACCACGAGCAGCCACGACACCTTTCCATGCTGGTGACAGCTTAAGGCTAGAAATCAGGAGGCCGGCTGGCACCACACCAGATCGTACAGCCTCATCAAAGGTTCAGAGCACTGAGTGCAGCGACTACATAGCCTACGTCGCTCGGAGCACTCATGTAAGGTTCGTGCGACTGCTGAGGCTGCTGAAAATCTTGAAGCGTGCCACAGATGAAGTGTCCCGGCCTGGTAGGAGTGCAACTGCATAACGGTCGAACTCTCTCGGTCTCGCCGCAAAAGCTTCTGTGTGCAGCTCCAAGTGGTGTCGTCGAGATCCTTTCTGGCAACTTGCAGGTGCTTCTCAATGGGCTCCAGCCTCGACACAGAAAGGATGAGACCAGACCACCGTTCTGTGTTCTGAAGAGTGCGGAAAGTACTCTGTGCACGGCAGGTCGACGTGGTCGCAGTGCGTGCGGAAGACGCCTTTGGCGAGTCGACCTGGGCATCCGTCTTATCCGCTTGGAGATGCGGGTCCATCGAGCAGGGTACCGATGCCGGCGCCCACGTCCAAAGCACGCTGAAAGCGACCTGGCTGCACTTTGGACTCCGGCCTCGTTTCTTCCGTTCCGGGAAAAAAGTCTCCGACCCTTGGAGTTTCCACGAAGGCGTGCCAGCTTCCTGGCAAAGGGACAGGACGCCGCTGCACACCTGGACAGCCATTGCAGCCAGAGTGTCCTCATGAACTGCTGGTTGAAGACCAGATCCTTGTCGGAAACGCCGCCTGCAGAAATGCAGCAGGCAGAATCAACGACAGAAGACACTCTCTGGGGCACAGCCTCCCGTCATGCAGTCCACCGTCGCAGCTTCCTGGCTAGAGCGAAAGCTACCCAGCACACAAGAAGCCTCAATTTATAGCACTATAGTATCACTATGGGTATAGCATGCGTGCAACTAGTCTTGCAATATGAAAACCGTAGTATGGCATGATTTTATAGGCTTTTCGTACTGCTCTAGTCTAGGATGCAGGCCTTGAGCCAGAAGCGCATGTTGCGGGCGTGCCAGCCATCCTCAGCCGAGCAGATTCTCCTTCAATCCAGAGCCTAAACGGGACCCAGAGAGCCCGTACACACCCCACCCATAACTATCCCATAATTTGGCAACAGTAAACGGTACTATGAGGCCTTTATAGGGCTGCTGAGGATTACATCTTCGACTACAGGAGGATTAATGTTATGACTTAAGGTCTATTCCGGCATATTCCTCAGGTAAGGAGTTTTGGGCTCTTTGGGGACTGCTGCAGACATCGATCGTCAGGGCCCCACTGTCACGCTTGAGGTCCAGCCGAACGACTTTGCAGCTGCTTTCAGGCGAAACCAGGAACAAAAGCCTCGGATTCAGTTTTGGCATTGGTTTCAGAGTTTGCAACGCAGCAGCACAAAGTGTCCATATCGCAGAGGGCGCGGCGCTTCAGCTTGACAAGCTGCCAATGAGGCACACGCCACAGCACTCCACCTGAACGACCCAATTCAACCCAAAGAACTTGCAAAGCAAGTGCCTTTGCTAGACCACAGGCTGGCACAGCCATGTTGACAGGCCGGTTCGTTCCGGTTGCTTGGTTGCGTGCAGAGCAGTGCTCACCCAAAATACGGGAGCCAATGGGCTGCCATGGGCTACCGTGCTCGGGTCGGGGATCCTCAAGGTTCCGACTTAGTCTGAAACCCTGGTGGTGGTGTGTCAAGTGCTCGGAAGCCTTTGTGCTGCCTTGCTTTGGAGAGGCGACCAGCGACTCAAGCAGAGACATACATCTTACATCTGATCCAGGGTGGCCACACAGTCAAGACATCACACATCGAAGCCCGCCTGGTCGAATTGAGATCGCTCGAGCCCGGTCTGCTGATACTTCTGCACGGTGAGAAACAAGCAAAAAGGTCAGATTTCAGCATGGACTTCCTGACGTCTGGGCTGCAAGTTAAAAGCATGAGACGCTACTGGGCTGTATTTTCATTCACTTTTGTCAGAAGGGAACGACAGCGCGATAATGAAAACCGCTACCACGTCAAGTATACAACCAGTGACAAAGCAACGGTTAACAGCCATGCAGACTACGAACACCCATCAAGAAGACACGAGTATTGAACTAATGCCACTTGATGGCACAGTACAGACAGCCAGCATGGATGCTGCTTTGGAGGACTGATGTCACTGACTTCCATGAATCACGTGGCTTTTCCTCTTCTGTCTCGATGAACCGGTGCCGTTTTGGGAAGAGTCTTTGCCTTAACCTCCAAGTGACCCTGACACGGATGTTGATGCGAATGCACCCGAGCCTGCATCAAGCGTTTTGCCCTGCCCGTCGGCTGCTGCCTTGCAGCAAGCTCGCAAGGAACCCAGCCGCCCTGTCACCCCGAATTCTGAGCTTTCCTGAGCAGTCTCAACCGAAGTGTCCAGGCGAGGCCTGCGGCACTTCCCGACAGGTTGCTAATCATTGCACTTCGTCGACCGGGTCGCTACGGCGATACAACTTCCCGGGCCTTTTCCTGGGCCCCAGAGGCTTGGCCTGTGTAGATCTCTTCTGAAAATCACAGGGAGGCAGAGAAGACAAGAGTCCGGAGCAGGCCTCTCCTGTGCAGCTTTGACGCAGCCTCTCACACCGCTACGACTCAAGGCTCGATTCACAGTGCTTGACACCGAGGCGAACACCGCTCCAGCTTTTCTCGCCTCGGACTGGAAAAAGCAAGCATGACATCGAACGAGAGAGACCATTCACTGCTGGCGGTCCATGTGCTTCAGCTTTAATTCATCACTCCGGCCAAGGCCCCGGCGAGATCATCATCTTTTCGTCAGAGGCAGCGGCGTCGTTCTGTAAGACCACAATCAGAAGCTCCACGGGAGCCTCGCGCGGAAGTGGAGAAACGCTGTGCAAGCCCAAAAACTCCGAGCACAGACACCCGGCGGCTCTGCAGGCCATCGAGCCACACCTTGCGCTCACCAGCTGGAAGTCTGAATTCAGAGTGTAGGGCTTATATGGCCTAGGACGTTTAGATGGTTTAGGTCCAGGTTGGTTCAGGGCCTGCTTGGAGGATCAGGAGAGTTAGTGAATCACGAAAAGCTTTCCCCTAAAACCAAGAACCCAAGGCACAAGCCTGTTCGTCCCTGGGCACCAGGATGTGGCCACGCGCGAAAGGAGACTTTCTCAAAGCAGCGACCTGGAACCGTACAAACACAGCCGAGGCTTTGAGATGTAATGGTTAACCTTGTTATGGTAAGTCTTATGGTATTTATAGTATGATAGTGTTATAGTATTATAGTAACCCCAATAGGGACCCTCCCCGCAAGTCTGAATAGTTTTACAGCAACCCTTACAAGCTCTCTTTCTCTTCCCAGGCCTCGGGATTCTCCCAACTTGCGATGGCCTTAGGCTTCGGGGTTTAGGGTTTCGGATGTAGGGTTTATGCAGGGTCCCTAAAGCCTAAACCCTAAAGCCTACACCCTGTTTAGGGTTCAGGGTTCACAGAAGAAGGGACTCCGGAGCTCGCAAGGAACTGGGGCGAAGGGCAATGACGAAGCTCAGAGGCTCCTCGGTCGCCGCCAAGAGGCTGTGCCTCATGTTTTGGGTTTAGGGGTTTAGGGGTTTAGGGGTTGGGGGCTTTAGGGTTTAGGGGTTTAGGGTTGTTTTTTCGGGTTTAGGGTTTACTAGACTAAGACTTGCTACAACGCCTGACGTCGCGCGGCCAGTCCCCTCTGAGCACCGGGCATGTGTTTCTTCATTCCTGCGATGACAGCCGGTGCGAAGGGCGGGTTTGCTTCAAAGCATCCACGGCCTCGGGCAGGGCATGGGACAGCGCAACACTGTGTACCTTGACGGAGAACAACAAACGCTGCCGAGCCGGGCGTGGTTTGAATGAGGAGAAGCTCCCCATCGAACCGAAGCATCTGTCGCCTGAGTACAGCTCAGGAAGCATTCTACTGATATTGCTACTCAGACCTGGGATCAAACTGCAAAGCATGTTTGGTTCTGCGTTGGCTACAGTAGTAAGACCACAGGGTCGAAATGGACGGATGGCGTTCGCCAGGATCCGCAGATCCAACAGGAATTAAACATTTCGTTCAGCTTGGCCCCGGTGGCTCATGGCCCAGGGCAGCAGCTTAAAACGGTCCATTGCAGGATGCAGGCTGGCACAGAGCCTCTCACTGAAGCTGCCTGCGAATAGCACTGATGACCTGGTAGATGGGAATCAGGGCCACGATACCTGAAACTACAAGAGATGGCGCAAGTCTGTGGACTGCATCAAAGGCCTGATGGCATGACCATGGATTTGCATGTGATTCAAAGCCAGGTGCTCGCCAGGTTGATGCCATAGCTCTGTGCGATTTCCCAGGGGCGAGGGATCTGAGGTAGTCCGCTTGTAAGCATGCCGATCAGAGACCTGGTATCTCAACATGCGTGTTGGCCAGCAACCAGAAGTGATGGATCGGCGTTGCCAAAGCTTGGGGCGGCACGGCCCACCACCCACTCCATAGAACACAGGCCTGGATTGTAAACTTGATCGCACATTGCAGTGCACAAAGACGTAATGCCGTCGCATAGAGAACAGGACTACAATCACTTGCTGTGACAGGTTGAACACCGGCCTCAGAACCAAGATCAGCACCACGAAGGAGGAAAAAATTGCCACGGCCAGCCCCACTTCGCCCAGCGGCCGCAGGAAATCAATGGCGGAAGCGGCGGTATTCAGCCCATCCTGAGCTCATCCTATCCTTCTGCGGTCGAAGAACACTGTTGCAGTTAAAACTTAAAACTGCATTTCTGCAAGGTGCCAAGGATGGCTTGGTCCGCTCGTACTCGTAAATCGGCACCGTCAGCAAGCGAGGGTTTTTCTGGACGGCCTCCAGGGCCAAGCCTTTCTTGGAGTCGTCCTCCAAGCTGGTCAAGTACTGGAACGAGCGCTGCTGCATGTCGGTATCCTCAACTCCACAAGGTCTCGCCTCTAAGCGTCAGCTTGAAACGACACTACACCTCCACTCCCTCCTGAGCCCGCGACGCCCAGCAGCAAGATGGGGTCTTTCTCGACCATTGTCAGGGCTACGTCCGAGCCTAGGAACTGACCCAGCTTCTCCTGGGTGCAACTCATGACTGGCGCGTGGGTTGCAATGCAAGGCATGTTGATTTTCGCCATCGAGGTGTCCAAACATATCTTCGGCATGACTCGAACAGAGTTGCCTCCTCTCATGGTGACTGCAGCTTGGATCTGGCTAGCCCTGGATCTGGCCTGACCAAGCACGACCCCAGCATGATGCTGCCAAGGTTCATAGCGACCGACGATGACATCTTTACCTGCTTTGCCACACAAGCTTGCGGCCAAAACAGCAAACAAAGTCAGTTTAGAGATTGACCTTCCTGCTGCAAGGTGCCGGCAGCTTCATCCATGAACGTGCCAGACTCGGCAACTTCCGGATACTTCTCCGCCAAGGAGGCGTAAGCTTTGTCTGCCTAGTAGTGAAGAATCTCCATTCCACAAATTGCCATGAGCTGGGACTTTTCAGCGGGCTCAGGGGCCCAGGCCCTTGCGTTGCCCTCCTGGTCCCAAGGAAAGGCCCGCATTGCAGCGGGCCCTCGGGCCCCAAGGGAAGAGCTGCGGAAACCTGACAAGAGCGGGCCGAGGGCTGGAATTTAAGGGAGTCAGGGCGCCTGAAGAGAAGGCAGTGCCCACTGCCACGGCGCAAAGAAGCCTAGCAGGATTGAAACGGCCGCACGCAAGGCTTCCTTCTGCTTGTGGTACGGGCGGTACTGGAACTCTGAGCTCGAGGCAGTGTGAGCACCCCGAGGGTCGGGTGCGCGCGGCGCAGCACGCGCCTCCACTGTCTGGGCAAGTCCTTACACGACCGCAAACAGACGATGGACCCGAAAGCTGAGTTCAACATGTTCCTGAGGGTGGCACCATTGCGGCGCTGTTTTAATGATTCCAACCCGGTTTGAGCAGCAAGGCTAGTTTCAAGTTGAAAATAGACAGCATGCCCCACACCTCACGAAACTTTGTCTGAAGCACTTGGGCGCAGGCAGTCAGGAAATGCACTGCAGTAGTTTGGGAACCTGGTTCCAAGGCGGAACAAAGGAGTGTTCAATGTGACGTCATGTGCCACACAAGGTTCGCACCAGCAGTTCAGTGGCGATGCGAAGCATTCGGCCTGGCTCTCATATGCAAGTATTATACTATAGAATACCATAATAATATGCATAGACTATACTATAAAATGCTATAACATCATGATATTCTACAGTGTACCATGCTATACAAAATTGTAACCTACTGTACCGTAATATGCCATACTATGACTATACCATACTCTACTACACCATCAGCTGCTCTCGGTCACCGGACCTGCACAGCGAAGTCCTCCTGCAGCACTCTCCAGGCCGCTGAAGGCAAGGCCAACTGGAAGCCAGTGCCACCCAATGCCAGGTATCGCATTCCAAGGACCATGACAGCCTTTTCGAAAGGGCAACTCTGTACTCCATGGAACTCGTACAGCTTCTTCAGCTTCTTGTAGGCGAATCCTGAAACACGCACCCTGGCTCCTGCAGATTTGCACAGCAACAACACCTCATCGCCTTCTTCAGACCGCTGCATCTCGACCACCTCCATGCTGGACTTCTTTGCTGCTGTCCGTTGGATGGCAACGGCCGCTGCTTCCGACGAGGATGCAAGCCGCCTTGCGATTTCGGAAGCGGCCTTCCTGGAGAATCCAGATCGCTCCAAGTCCGAAACGAGTGCCGGGTCCTCTGCCACCTTCGGAGTCGGAAGCAGCGGATCCAAGCCGCCGGAAGCGAGATCTTTGGCAGAGAGCCACCAACGTTCGAAGGCCATGCTGGGGTATCGACTCTGTCCTTCTGAAGTGCACTCACGTCGCAGCTGCACCTTCAACCCTTCAAAGAACTTCGTCCTCTGCGACTCCAGCCAAACCGAAGGGCCTGCAGCATCGTCGACCGAGTCGCTGCCAGTCGCGGCCAGAAAGGTCTTGGTGTCTTGGTCACCAGCAGATATATGCCACGGAGAGGCCACCACTACATCGCTCTTCCCTTTGCTCTTCTTCTTGCTCATGCCCAGGTTCCAGCGGATGAGGCATCAGCCCATTGCAAAGATCGACCTTCCCCTGATTAAGACAGGATAATAGGAAGAGAAAGGCCTAGATTGCGCAAAGTAGTGGAATTGGGTATGTGCAGCCTGCAGCGGTGTGTGGCACATGAGCTAAGATCCAAACATAAGAACCAAAACGACAGCAACAACGACGTAAACCACACACACCCGGACCTCAGAAAGATCTCTGTCTCAATCCTGGCATCAAGGCGCCGTTCCTTGCATGGTTTGTCCGATCCCTCCAAGATATGGATATTCAGGCGCCTATATCCTTCAGCGGCAGTTTAAGATTCATACAGATTCAAACCTAACTCACTCCTACCACTAAAGCCGTAGGTACTTCTGTCTTCTCAGCTATAATAGTCCTGAATTGGTACATCATCAACACTGTAAGACAACAACAAAAATCCACGTACCAGGAGTCCATGCCCCCCCATAACTGCTATGATCTTGGTTCTCGGTTTGCCGACACCGGCAATATCAGCCCCTGGCATGCTCAGATCCAAACATGCCGAATCCCTGTGACTGCGCTAGTTCTCCCATGACTCTCTGGAGGATCGCATCCCAAACGCGTCCGATCCATGTGACAGTGGACACTTCCCAACCACGACTCTTTCATGAAGGTCCATAAGCAGCTGTCATGGGCGCCATACTACAACAAGCCTGTCACAAGCATCTCCCCCCAAACCACAGCGAGAACTGTCACGAATATCGTGGCAGAACACACTCGACGATTACGACATCTCCTGCCTTGGGAAAGCTGTTGTACGCTGTTCGGGAAATTTGTGAGTGCATCTAGCTGGTGCTTCAATCTTCTCACCCGATTTCGGTGCATTTCTGCTTGAAGTGACCCGGCACGAAGATGCAAGCTGAGGAACACATCAGCAACTTCCAGGAACGGAACAAAGGGGAGGCCTCAATGAGGTGCCAGAAACGTGAGTACCCCAAGAGTGTAAACATCTGACACCGAGCATATTCCCAGCCTAAAGCGTGGACGTCTACGTGCCAAGAAGCCAGCAAGAAAACAAGCGCGCACGTCGGGCCGTAGGCAAATCCCCAAAGCGCCTCACTTCCCATCGATTTTGACTGCACAAGTCGAAAACCATGAGACGGCCACGCACACGTGAACAGTCACGTGCGCAGGCCGATGGTGGTCTTTGGGTTGCAGCTCATGATGGCTGGTGGAGCGGGGTGAAACATGCTTACAGACTTACAGGGTACAGTAGAGCAGACTCATGCATCTCGGCCAATCTACGCTTGACCTCTGAGCAGCAATCTTGTCATCTGAGTCACTAGTAGAATGCAAACACATCTCGGTGAAACATGCTCACCAGCCCATGGCTCCTAGCCTATATACAATAAGCATTCTGGGCTGGCCTTGTCAGCCAAGATCCCAGAAGCTCACTTCATCTCTGCCGCTTTTGGACACTCGTTATTGCCTACTGCTACTTTCTTTGCGGACCTGAAAGGACAATACGAGTCTTTCATCGCACAACTGCTCGCCTAGACCATGTTTGCTTCCAAGAAACCGCTTCCGCTTCCTTACAGTTCTGTTTTCGCTTTCCCCACCTCGAAGCTTCTGTCTGCAGACTTCGAGAAAGCCGAAACGGGCATCAGGCCTTGTAGGTGCTCGCCTTTTCTCTGCCGATCCACTCTCGCCAAGCACTTCCTGCAACAGATACAGATGGACCATCGACAGCCAAACGATCAAGCCCACAGAGACTTCTCACCTACTGGAGGCAGTCGCGGCCTTCTTCTATTCGAACTTCATCTTCCATTTCCAGCTTTGCAGCCTTGCGGCAAAAAAAGAACATGGCTGTTGCAGCAATCTCTCCTATTGTTGCTTCTTTGGCGCCTGCACTCCTGAACCTGGAGCTCGAAGGGTGAGGGCCTGTTGGCAGCCCAGTGCCAAGGCAAAAAGCTGATTTTTCGATGACCGCCTTCTCCCCCTGCGGCGCTTGCGGGAGATCGACTGCGAGTCGCACCTGGGCTGGGACATGCTGGGACATCACGCGAGCAGGCGCAGGCACAAGACGTGACGTGCACTGTGCTCCGCACGTACAGGTCACCTCGCTTGCTTCCCGACTCGACAAGGCCCTTGCCCTTGAGTCGGAGCACCTGACAATGCCATGGATTCCGCAATGCCATGCGGGAAGCCTACGTTCTGCGCCTCGTCTGGCTGCTGCAGACGCTCCTTGGTGATGGTTACCTTGGCCAAACCGTTTTTGAGCTGCAGCAGAACCTGTTTCAATCGGTACCGCCGTCTGATGAACTATAGGCCGGTGGACCGTCTCTTCTCCAAGATGTTGCCAAGAAATCCTTGGGGTCGCTGCGGTCGGCAACGCTCCGCTGGAGACAGCATCACATCCAAGCAACGTAAAGCCGAACAAGGCTTGCTCCAATGAGACATGGAGCACCTTGCATCGGGCACTTGAAAACTTTCCATCACCGAAAGACTAAAGAGCAACTGAGGTAGCGGCCGTGTGCAAGTCTGACTCTGCAATTCTGAAGTTATCCTCCTTGCTGCCTGGCAACAAGTTAGGTCATGTGACGGGAACTGCCGGGATGCGCTAGAGACAGTATGGCAACAGATTACCTCGCTGCACCTTGAAGTTCACCTGCGCAAGCAGCGAATCAGCGATGCACAGGCAGACACATCTAAAGAGAAGGGAGGCAGAGAGACCGACCTACCCACTAATCAAAGACCTACCTGTTCATGCATCGACTTCGATGTGTGATTGTGCAGAACTGCCGACACCTAGCCAGCTCGCCTTGCCGGGAAACTTTCCTGGCGTTTGGTGGCCAACATTCGACAGGACCTGACAAGGAGAAAGGCTGAGCAAACACAAGCACTTGAACCCAAAACCCCAAACCTCCAAAACCCTGCACCAAAAACCCAAAACCCCTCCAAAAGCCCTACATGGTAGAGCGGAACTTTTCCTGGCGCCTTTAAAGAAGCGCCCTGCTTGGCCCCTTTGCTCACTCTCAGCGGCACCTCGGCTTTGGCAGAGACAGGGTTTGGGGTTTGGGGGTTTTGGGGTTTTGAGATTTTGGTGCTTTTTGGGTTTAGGGGCTCTGTGCCTCGACCCCAACTTCTCGACACCGCTCTCGACTTTCCTGCTCCTTCTCTCTCATGCCAACCACCTGACAAAGAAGACAAAGAACGGGCTCATTACGTGCACAAGACACGCGGCTCTGCGCCTGCCTGACGCCCGAAGGGCGTCATGCCATATTTCGGCACCTGGACCTGCCACAAGAGAAAACGAAGCGAAAGCCAAGGGCCAGAACTCGGCCAAGAGGGCCAAGAGCTGTACCTTCTCTGGCGGACACCGACCGCAGTCCTGGCACTCGGGCCTTGCAAAGCACACCCCCCCCCCCCACGCGGCGTCTCTAAATCGTGGAAGCGCTCTAAGTTTCTCCACACATCTCTGCACCCTGCGGCCTGCCGGGGTCTTCTTTGCAACCACGACATATCATAAGCCTGGCGACCCGGAAATGCGTCAGCTGCTGCTGCTTCCCCCCCGCTCCAGGCCGGCCTAGGGAAGACGAAGACCTTCTTCTCCACTCCATTGTAGAGCTCAGAAGCTGAAATGGGCACCATTACCTTGCAACGCGGATTTTCGTGACAGCGAGACTCTCCCTCTCCGGGCCACCTCGAGCTCGTCGCTTTGCAGCTTCTGTTGGATCTGTGATTCGACTTTCGCCTGATTGTTGGCTGCCAAGACTTGCAGGCGTACTCAGGCCAAGAAGGATGCCTTGTCAAATTGTCGCTTCTGCTGCTCGATCTGCTGCTTGAACCTTGCAGACACCATGCAGCTTGCATCAGCATGCTTGATTGCTCACGCAACTGGGGCGACAACATGGCATACTGCGGGTGATTCTTTGGAACCTGTGACGAGTCGTGATGTGATCACGCCTGCTCAACGCCAGGAGCCCATTTGCCCTGTGAGGTTTGCTGAGACTGCGGAACTAGTACAAGTATTGCTAATTACTAGCTTCTTCTCGGCTCGACACAGGTTCTGTTCATAATGCGTGAAGCTGAACCCTTACTTTCTGCAGGAACGCTTCGACTGGAGGAGACTGTTGTCAGGAAATCTGCATTGCCAGCCCAAAGATGTGCCTGATTGAGCTGCGCATCCTTGCCACAGTATCCACGTGACATGTGCAGGTGCTATCAAATCGATGCAACCAGACGCAACAGATGCAGCTGCGTCGCCATCTGTGCTTTCTGCCCCTCCACCTCCTTCCAAGCTATCTCAACGTTCTTGACGAGCTGCATACCACCTTGCCGGAAAATCCATGGTGAGGCTATGAAACCTGCTGCTGGACCCTTGAAAACCCCTCGAAATCCCAAGCTTACCACACTGCGTGAAGCTTCTTGTTCTGTGAGAGCAGACGAGTCCCGGAGGATTGACCACATTGCAGCCGAGCCACCGAGGTTGTACTGCCTCAAGTACTCCCACCAAAGTGAGCTGCTCAAGGCATCATCAGGGGAAGCATGTCACAAGAGTTCCGGGTGAGCGACCTTCGCTTCTCTGGATCTCCAAGAACCTGTGCGGCAGGACTCCATGCTTCACAGGCAGCAGGTGACTACCCTCGTTTCCGAAGGCCTCATAGGCCTCTCTCATGTCGTTGAAAGCTTTTGGATCACCGCCTGTGCTTGCACCGGCTCGTGTTCTACGCGCAGTGCCAGAAACCACCGGTCAGCCTTTGTCAGGATGCATTGATACCGACAGTCGCCGGAACTTGCCTTGCCAATCAACCAAGCCAGGAGTCACAACAGACGGACCTGTAGACGGTGTATACTGGAGCTGCAGCACAGCTGCTCTTGACCGCGGCTTGGTCTGCATCCTCCGTAATGTCTAGGAGCTTGTACAGGTCTGCTCCTGGAAACTGCCGCCATGGATCGTCTTCCTACGCAAACGAAGAGAGACGTAAACAGTCTTAATCTTTCAGGACAGGTCTCCCATGCTGTCTTGTTCGTCTGCCATGGCTACCCGCTTGAAATCGAGCTTGCCTGCAAAGGGAAGCCAGCAGGAGACCGGGGTGCGATCGATGTAGGATTCAAAGTATGCTGCCGCCTTTCTTGCCGGTGCTCTTGCCTCGCACATGTCAGCTGCGACAAACGCTCCAATTTCGACAAGGCAGCCGTCCAATGACCTACCTAACCTAGTGCACCCAAAGCGCTGGGCTTCTCCATGACCAAAGAAACCTTCTTCAACTCAGCTTCGTCCTTCCCGAGACTGGCGACATGCGAAGTCTTGTCGCCTCAGGCGACAAATCCTTGCATGTCCTTGTTCTCGAGCTTCTTCCTGTCTATGCCCTCGAGACCCTCCACAGAGAATTTCACAACCTCAGCATGCATCTCATCAACGGAAAAGACCCATGATCTCCTGCAGCATGCATTGCGGCCTGAGCACGGCACCTTGAGTTTGGGCGTGTTGATAAGAACTTTGCCATTGTTGGCGGCCCACAAACAATGGCCTTCTGGCTCGCACTCCTCCCAAAGAGTATCGATGACAAAGCGCTGGAAGCAAAGAAATGAAAGAGATCCACCTTCAATGGTGACTCGACGAAGCCGTCTCTCAGGAGAAGGTACTTGGAGGTCTTGCCCTCCTTGCACACTACTACAGCGCCCTCTGCCAGCTGATTTCAGAAAGCAGGGTCTGACGATTGCCGGCCAAGACTCCCATTCGGTGTTCACCAGCCACCTCATCATGGCCAGGGACTTGCCCACGAATCAAAGGGAGACTAGACAGTAGAGTCGCTGCATTACGCTCGCGGATGTTCAAGCTGAGCCGAGAACTCAAACTCAGCCTGAGCACGGATCTTCGTTTGAGGCATACATGACTACAAAGGAACTCACATGAACAGCAGCTTGGCTTGGCACCGCAACTTCCGAATTCTCCGTCTTTGGCCACTCAGCGCCTTTTCTGCCACCACCTCCGCCGCCCATCATTCCACCTGGCTGAAAGAAGGCAAGACAAGGAAGTTCGGCATCTGCTGTCTCTGCGCTCTGCGCAGCTATTGTTCCCGTTGTTACTATTGCTACTAGTACGATTATTTTGCCAATTGCTGCGACAATGATTACCAGCACCTACTGTAACACAGCGCCTCCTCCCATCATCCCTTGGAGCATCTCAGGAGGAATTTCGAACTGGAACTGTCCTCAGGAGGGGATCTGCGAAGGCTCATGGTCAAAAGCGGTGTCAGCACGGTGCCTCTTGCAGGTGCCAATAATAGAGGCAGCCATGCCTGGAAACAATGCCGTTGCACCGACATGGCATCGAAATGATCGCCACGACAACAGATGTAGTTGCCTTGAGGCGCATGTCTCGCCCGGTCTTCCACTGCCGCACGGTCTGCCGTGCCTGTCGTAGTGCTACTAGACTTGTGAAGAAAGGCAAGCGCTCCGTACTTATTCACGAAACCCTTCAACCCTCTCTCGCCGACTCTCGCCGGAAGCCTGCGGGGAACCTTTCTGGCACTGCTGGCCTCACGACTGCCATAGATCTCTCACGAAGAGAGCACTCAGAGGTTCTGCATGGACTCGCCTTGCAGGATATGCGTTCGGCCACCTTGCAGTCCGGAAAAATTACTTGAGCCAAAGCCATGTTCGGGATACAAGCTTTCAAGCTCCAGTTCAGAGGCATCCGTACACAGAACTTGCTGTCAAAAAGACTCATGTTGGCCATCTGCCCGAAACAAGGGCATCGCGAACATTTCGCTACTCGGGGGTTGATGTCAGCTTCACACATCCGCTTTGTGACGTGTGCAGATTGTCTAGCTTCATTGTCCAGACATCGCGCTGAAGCGTTTGCTCTACTGATGGCTGTCAAGCGCCAAGCGGCTTAAAGAATTCAGATTCCCACATTCGGTCAAACTCAGTGACGAAAGCTGTGGCCTGAGTAACAAGCACAAAACCCGGAGCTCGTTCGCAGGGGCACAGAAGAAAAAATCTGGGCGTCACCACCAACCTCTTCTCACCACCTGGCGGGGCGGCCGGGTTGAAAAGACTACACAAAGCACAGAACACCAAGGTCCTAAGAATCAATATCAATCCAATCCGAGTCACGGAAGATTATGGCATCCTCTTGGTTTCCTTTGGTTGCCTGCAGATCAGCCGAGCACAGGAGCACGCTCTCCCAGCAATGAGATGCGGGGCCTGTGCCGTCCAATTGAAGGAGCCATTGATCACAGTTTGCTTGTCAATCACGGCCTCCGAAAACCAACCCAAATAGACTACGAATGAAATCGGTGAACTCGCTTGACACCAGGTGGCAATAACTCAATCAATGCGGGCAAGTGTCGAACTTGTGATGCATGGCATACCACGACCTGGACAACGGTGTCTCTAGCTCATCAGAACAAAGCAGAGATTGTTATTAGTAGCACTGTCACTACTAAAGTACCTTTACTGTTACTATTACTAGGATCCGCCCCCAACGCTTGCCCACACCTATCCTTCTGCAGGTTAATTTCTTGGTCGAGCGCATCCACTTGGAGTTGCACCTGTGTTCAAGTGTTTTGCCCCTCTACTTCCAAACTTTCAGCACAGGCTTCTCCGTCGCAACAACTAACGGTATTGGTCTTCCCAACGCTGTCCGTCCACTGCTCGACTGCTTCCTAAGGGTTCTAGCTTCTGCTGTGGACTTGGCTCGCTCTCGCTCCCCGGCAGTGCTTCGCTGACTCGTGGCACAGCTGGCATCGACGACGCCGATGTGGCAACGACAGGTTTTTGGAGCTGCTTCGGCCAAACATGTTGCATCGGCGCAAGTCCTCCGGCTCGGCACTCTCTTCGCTCAGCTGCTCAAAGATGCAAGGCAGGACGCTTGCAAGCTCCACCGACCCAGAGCGGTTGACGTCACCTTGGCGCTGATCCTCGATTTCATCCTGAGACGGAGACGTGCCCACACGCTCCGGCGACTGCTAAGTGTGCTCTTCCATGTCACCCACAGACGACGTCGAAGGCTCTTCCACGGAATCTTCGTCATCACCGCAGTAATTCCCTCAGCTTCAAGGCATCGACAGCATCGCTTCTCCTCTGCCGTCAGTGGGGACAGGAGGATAGCTTAGCTCTCGCTTCTTGCAAGAGCACCTGGGGCTTGAGAAGATAGCCGCCGCAGTGGTTGGCGTATCAAAACTTTTACCAAGACACTGTCTCACCGAAGGATCTCTGGGAGCAGACCTCCTTCTCGGATGCTGAGGCACCCTGAAAACGCAAAAGTGGGCACTTGCATCTTCAGAACTCTGCACTTCCGTGACCAACTTTCCCGAACCCACAACCAACGATTAATTGCACCCTGCCGTGTCCCCCGACACTTTGCCACACAAAAACCTAGATTCCTTGGTTCAGGCCGGATCGAACCTGACCGAACAGAGTCCGAGCACAAGCAAGCTGCGGGCCACAGCCGCGAGACCGGAGATCCAGCACCCCTGAAGAATAGGCCCAATTCAACGCCAGGCATGAGCATGGGTCACAAGGGTACCATGTCAGCAATGACAAGTGCACATGCGAGTCTGAGATGAGTATCACGTAGCAGACATAGCAGCTTTGGTATCACGGAGCTCCTAGCTGGACGTATCGACAGGCAATGGGGCATTGCGCTGTCAACCTGAAGAACTGAAGAAAATCAACCTGGCAAGGTGTTGCTAAGGCTCAAACCTTAACACAATTTGTCCCAACGGCAACAACCAGGGATGACCCTGATCTAGTCCCAAAACCCGGGAGCATGAAATCACCGAGCCAGGAATCATCCCAAATCCCCAGGTGCACCCTTCCCTGCTGACAGTACACATTCCAACTTTGCCCAGAATGCACCAAGCCGTCCCTTACTGCGCGGGGCCATGGCCTGTCTGTACGGACTTCCACTCCTCGCTCGCTCAGTCTCTGGGCATCAGCACCAGGCACTGCTGCCTCCACAGGCGTCACACGGAACGTTAGCAGCCGGATCTGTGAGGTCATGCCTGCCGGTTGTCTGTAATGATCCGGACACGAAGACCTGCATTCTCCGTGGGTCTCTAACGCAAGCTTTTGAAACCAAAGTGCTGCATAAACTTTCGGCTGCGCTGCCAGGCCTGCGTTGTGCTTCTGAATCAATGTGTCAACCAACATGTCCAACGTCAGCGTGAAGATCTGCAGACATGCACCGAACCACCCGAAATTCAATGACAGCCGAGATTGCCCGAGGCGCAAGCAGCCAGCTCAATGCTTGAGCGAGCACCCTGCAGCTCGGTCAAGATCATACCCACCTCGGCGGTCATGGAAGGAGACTGGCACACGCACAGACTATGCAACAAGAACACACTTCACATGGTAGCAACTCGTTCGGGATAACTTTGGACATATGCCAGATCCCACATGCAGATGAAAGCAGCATACTATGAGTTGCAGGCCCGTCTACGAAACTAAACCGTCCCCGGCTGCCCTTTGTTTGCATTTGCACCTGTAAGGGTTGCACATTCTTCATCTGAGGCTCCGGAAAGAAGAGGGCTGCAACCTTGTATCTTTCAGGCAGGACTGCGCACTGTCGTGGACGGGAACGGCTCAGAACCGCGCATTGCCCTCGAATTCAGCCGGCGGAGCTTGTGCGACGGTGCCAGTCTGGAATGCAGCCCACACTCGTTCAAACCTCAAGGCACGGCCAAAACAAGACTAGGGCGGCGAAAGCGCGTAAAAGCAGAAGGCTCCGGCTCCAGCGCGAAGCGGTTACACAATGCAGAGCGCCTGGCCAGACAGGCAAGTGTCCAAGTATGGCTTCATGTCCCTTCCAAAGTCCCGCCCGGTTCCACCTGCATATCGTCGCATTCTCATTGCCTTAGCTATCCGTTGTTGGGCCAGTGTTTCGTGATGCATCTTGCTGTCACAAGTCACGTGACCATGTGCTACCCCGGCACCACGCTCAACTGCGGCATGCGTCCAGTTGAGGGACCCGGAGATGAGAGTAGCGCCATCAACAACCACAAACCTCAACGGCATAAGATTTGCAACCTGCTCTTCCTTGTCCCTGCCTTCGCTGGCTTTCGAAAGCTAAACCCCTATGCTCAGCACCGCGGCTTGTGATGCATGTGGAATTTCTCACTGGAATCCAGGCCTTGCTCAGCGAGAAGACATCCGGAGACGAACTGTTTCTCGAACTGAGACTCGCCACGCAGCTGGAGGCCAGCTCTTCTCAATTCCGGGACCGCTGAGTTTTGCTGCTTGGCCTGGAGCTGGCGAGCTTCCCAAGACATGCCAGCAAAGGCGGCTTGGCCGGGCATGGCTGGGCATGCCTGCATGTCGTCTGATAGAATTCGTACTCGGACACCGCGCCTGGCCGAGACCACTTCGGAGAGGCTCTCGGGTGTGCTTAGAGACTGCGCTTATCCCCGTAGCACGACTCGCCATCTTGCCTGTGTGCTTGCACCAGTGCGTCCGCCAGACGCTTGTGGCTTATGCTGAAGACCTTGCGCTTGAAGAGCCCCGACAGCATGCAACACATCTTCAGCACAAGCTTTCAGACCCTGGCCGCAACATCCAAGCTGCGACGAGCCGACGCAAGCACATCTAGCAGCCGGTCCAAACCTGCTCTTTTCACGAACGCTGGCTGCTCCCGCGCCCCAGCTCGCAAAGCATGTTCCAGATCGTTCATGCCGGGTAAGATGCGTGATCCAGTGCTGTCGTCCGGGAAGAAAAGAGCCTCTCTGCGACTCCGCGGCTAGGACTAGGAGCTTGATGCAAGCTTTAAACAAGGGACGTCGACAGCTACTCCGACCTCGTCATGGCTGCCCAGGTCCATGGAAGGCCAACAGCCTGTCAAGGTCTTTGCAATGGCCTGCTCAGGACAAAGGCTCGTCTGCGCATCGGCGAAGTCTTTTTCTGTGCGCAGAGTAGTCTTTCCACCGCGTCAGTAGCCAAACTGCATGGAATAGTCCTTGGGGACAGACCAGTAAGAAGGAATGGCTAAGACTAAGACTCCCTTTTTTGCCGGTCAAAGCTCCCGCGGTGCCATGATGAGCTGCATGCCTTGCTGTGCACCACGACATACTGCCTCAGCAAGGTCCAGGAACTCCTGCAAGTTGCAGTGTCCGAGTGGCCCTTCTGGGGGGGGGGGGGGGGGGGG